GCAGGAAAAACCCGGAGCCAGCCAAGGTACCTGCCAATTCCCCCTGACTATTAAGTACGTGAAATGTCTGCACGAACATAAACTGCTGTCAGGAGCTCATGTTGGAACAGTGAGACGGGGTATTTCTAAGGGCCTTCTCCTTGACACAGGCCTGGTGTTTGACTGCAGAGCTGAGGTAAAGAGTAAATTAGATGTTTAATCTGAAAAAATCAAACCTCCTTCTACACAGACAGCATCCATCTATGCCAGCTAGAGAGCAGCTATTTTACAGCAAGCTCTTCACAGCCTCCCCCTACCAGGGGAGCAATTTAAGTGCTAAGAGAATAGGGCTTTTTCTGTCATCCTTCCCCTTCCCAGACTTCTCTGGGAAGTCTGGGAGCCGCGATGCCAACGTGCCCCGCTCTGACCTAGGTAGTAGGCAGCCGGAGCCGTGTTCCCACCACGCGAGGCGACGCGACACGCGAGGGATCAGGGCTGCCCCGGACGCAGGGGCGGCTTCCCGGGAAGACGCAGAACCTCCTGTGGAGAAGTCCCAGGCGAATCCCCTCACCTACCGCCCTCGCGACCCCCACGGCATGTCTCGTGTTTATCACGGAAAAGAAAAACATCCCGCGAGTTGAGAGGCTTAACTTTAAATTCTAATTTTTTGCCAGGAATAACATAGGAGCGAGGGAAGCACAACTTTGAAATCTCCAGCTCATTAAGCCCCAGAAAAATAAATCAGCTCATGATAAAAACAAAACAAAAGCCAACCGAAAAAAGATGCTAGGGATTTTTTTTTCCAGACATGCACATAAATTGCACAAACATGAGCAGCAGAGACGCCCATGCCATAACATCATTGTCCACTCTATCTGAGAAGAATTTTAGGGCTGTGTCCTGCTGCTATTGGAGTCAGAAGGAGGAAGCCTGCTGGGAACGGGGATGACAAACAGGTTTTTGCCTCCTCYGGCTTAAAAGGCAGGTAAAACAAACAGATGACTTCAGAGAGCCCACGGGTCGCCTTGGCAAGGAGAGGTCCCCACTGGATCAGAAAGATTAACTTTGGGGGAGGGCTTCCCTACAGGGAGCGAGCAGCTGCCATGAGCTAATATTTATGGACTTCCATGGCAATGGCAGGAGGACCCTAAAGCAGCGCCGGAGAGTCAGACTAGGTGCCTTGGAATCAAGGCTGCCTTAACCTATGTGATCCGAAGYGTCTCTCTTATCAGCATTTGGAGCATAAAATCATATCACTCATGCCTAACTGCCACATACTTGTAACCCTATACTTGTGGGATGAAATTAAATCAAGACAAACTGAGATGCCTGTATTCCCCCTTTATAATTTATAAGGATAAAATGCAAGTTTTTTGCCAGGGCAAGGTTCAAGAACTTTACATATCCCGCTAGGAAAAAAATATATACCAGGAAACCGCTACGATCTTCTCTTCCCGTGAAGAGAGATCATTCAGAATTTGTCAGCCATCCAAGGAAGTTTATCTTCTCCCTTCATTAGAAACCATGTTTTCTAAATGAGAAAAGCTTTTCACAGATAATAATTGTTAGACACTATTAGTCATAAAATGATGCTAAAGTGACAAAATGCAAGAAATGGCATCTCCAGTCAAGACAAGAGTRGTCCCTTTGACCTCGGTTTTGTGTGGAAAATACTGAAAGTTAAAAACTTCTGTTTAGTGAAATTAAGGTGGCTGACAGCCAGGTTGGCTTTCRCAGGGAATTGCCTTCTTGCTTTTTTTGTGAGCCCTTCAGACAGAGTAGCCCCAGATCCTGAGGGGTTCAGAGATCATAAGCTGAAAATCACTGCTCTACAAAACATGTTCTCATTTTTGTATGCAACAAACCCCAGCCTACCTCTGGGGAAGGAAACCTCAGGTATCCCTTATCCCACTGAAGACTCAAAACGCTGCAACTGAACTGCAGTTTCCTGGGACAAACACAAAGGAGATCTTTATTATTTATATCCCAGCAGAAATAGGAAGTTAATTACTTGCAAAGAGCATTACAAAGATTATTGCCTATTGTGAGGAAGAAAAGACCTTAAATTATACTGCGAGTTGAAAAAGGCATGAATGTCTGCTGTTATCAGTAAGATTTGCATTTTTGGGATTACTGAAAAATCACAATGCACTAAGCCAACTGCAGTGTAAACTCTCTTAAACATGGATTTTATAACAGAACTCTAATAACTAATGTCTTTAATGGTTCAACAGAACAAGGTTGCATTCTTTTCAAACTAAACCATACTTTGCAAGCTCATATATCAAGCAGTTCTAGCTGTCTTTTGACAGCTAACTGAAGATAATTTTTAGAAGAGAAAGGTATGAAGCACCTAAGGATCCACAGAACCATTCTCTATACTGTATTTTTGGAGTCATTAAATCTCTGAATCCCATTCCTAGATGGAGTCAAGAATGCTTTTATTTAGTTAGGTGCCTAAAATAATGACCTTCCCATAAACTGGACATTATTTTTTCCCTTCAGGATGCTTTCCTAAGTCTCACCCTTTTGTAACAAGTGGCACATCCATGAGAGGTCTACAGAAAAATGTAGGAGGAATCAAACTGGTTCCATCAATCTTGCTAACCATCCTWTTATTGCTGGACTGTTTAGGCCTCCCTTTTCAATATATAATTAGTTTTGGTAATTAATCTAGCCGTAGTTATCATTTATCTGTTTACTTGAAATATGAAGCCTTCMTGTATTCTCCAAGTTCATCCTTTTTTTCATGAAAGACTCCAGTACTAGTTCTAATACAGAAAAAAAAAATGGAAATAATATTGTTTTCAGACAACATCTAATAACCATGCACCTTCTCTTGGCAGGAACAGCAGAGTTTTACTTGTGTCCAGAATGAGAAAGAAGAGATGCAGAGCCACGAGTATTGCTCCATACCCGTGCAGCAGCAGCATGAACAGCAGCCTGTGCCTTAGGAATTCAGTTTTTCTTCCCCCGTTAGGCTTGTGGACAGAATTTAGAATTCAGGGAGTTGCTCCATGCAAGTTCTCAGTATGGGGCTACATCTACACTTAGTAGAAATGAGCATCCACAAGCGAGCTCAGCACGGAAACATAGTCTTTTAATCTCTCTGTAAAAGAAATTGAATAATAACAGGGAAATAGAAATCGTTTTGAAGGGTAAGGCACCTCTCAAAAACAGCATGGAATTTCAGTTAAGAAAGCTGTAATATCAGAAAACAAATCAGACTTCTTAAAATACTTGCTCAGTAGAGGTGTGACCCCTCTCACGCAGTTAATGGTCACTCCACGAGGCACTGACAGGGCAATAGGAAAGAGGCTCAATCTATACAAGAAAGTAATCAGTAAAGTTGCAACGAGAGCACCATGACAGCAAAGTGGCCAAAACAACCACTATTTTTGACAAATCAAACCAGATGAGATGTAATGAAAAGGACGAGCACAGGAAAAAAGCAAAGGGGAAGGGAAATCTTTGAAACTAATCGCAGTGTAAACAGATATTCCACAAAGAATTAATTAGAACTGCACATGCATATTTGCTGCAGGCCCATCTCCCACAGCAAGCATGCCACAGAGTACTGTATTCCAACAGTTCCAACAGTGATACTGAATGCTAAAGAAGCATTTAAATTGATTAAAAATATCACCTTTATTGAAGATAAATGCTTTTTTTTTTTTTTTTGTTAAATAGATCAAATCAACTGCTCACTAGACACAGAGAACTAGTTACCAGTATTTATGGGTAGAAGAGAGAATCAGCTTCAGGATAACATGATATGATATCCAGCTTAAACCACTGAGCAAATAAGGGGGCGACAGGCAGCAAAATGAGGGACAGCTCCACAGCCATGGATGCAGATTTCAGCACCCTGGGTAATGAAACCCACAGTGCCTGGCCCACCATTCAACACCACAGCAAATCCCCACCAAACCAGGTCTTAGAGATGAGGCAGCAGATGGGCACAAGGCAGCTGTTGGAATCATACCATAGGAGAGATGTTCTCTCCAGACACAGGTTTGATCTACATAATCCTAGTGCTTGTTTTAAACAAACCTTGCAGGATGTCAGACCACAAGGCCCAGGATATGTAGACCAGTTCTGTACCAGAACAGAACTCCAGTACTAATTCTGCAATGAGCCAGACAAATCACTGGAAAGACAAGATTTCCACTTAACAGGATGATTTCACTTTGAAAAACCTCCCAGCTGTTAATTTAGCAGATCTGCACAGCAGCTCAGGCTCAAAATACTAAGTTTGCTTGAGCTGAACTCAACAGAAACATTTAACTTGTTTGTTGGCAAAATTACTGTCATTATTTGTAAGAACTAAGACGTTCTGCTGTAAGAACATGGTTTGTCTGGAAATACAGACCCATCACCTGAACTAGTGTCTCTGCACGAAGATGTACCAGCGCACCCAAGTCTCGGTCAGATGTCTGCACTGTGCTCCACTGTGGGGCGTGGATCTGGTCTTTGCTCTTCTGCCATGCTGAACTTGCATTCAAAACCTCTTCTTTAACCTATGAGAAGTAATTCAGACTCATTGCTTCACTCTGAGACATTATTTTCATGACATCAGAACATACGAGCAAGCTCTCCAGCACACATCATCTCCATGCTGCTCTCTTGACAAACATCCCACTCTAGTTTCTACTGACAACACAGTATTGGCCAGAAATTGCTTTCAGCGCAGAAATGCTTCTGTGCTCAAGAAATCGGGCCACCTTGCTTGGCTAAACATCCTCCCACCCTCTTTCAACATGATCCACTTCTTCCCTGTCTGGTTCTCTCCCACAGGTGGCTTTTGTCCCAGCAGCGTCGTGCGGCTCTTATCCCAGACACACCTGATGTTCAGCTTAGAGGCTGCTCCCCAGGCCCAGCCAGCAGCTTTGGTTTACAGCACCAAAGGTGCTGATGCAGCAGACTCGCAGGGCCAGCTGAGAGAAGAGTCATCAGAGCTGGCCTCCAGCTCCCTGCACTTAGAGATCATTAAAAAACAAAACAAACAACAAAACCAACCTTCCTGAAATCAGGAAATTAGCCTGCAGCCACAACAGTTGCTCCAAACTATTCCCAAAGGTGTGTGTTCTAGAGTGGCTCAAATGTTTATTAATTTTGGACTGTAAGTGCATAGATGCCAAAGTTCTTATCAGATCTTTCTTATTTCGATCAGAGTGAAGCAATACAAATATATTCTCAGCAGCAGGTATACACATCACCGTTCAGGTTTATGTCTCCATCGCTGGTTGACCATTTTCTTATTACTCTACTGCAATGTTACCCATTCTATTTAAATGTAAAAAATATCAAGCAATCAAGTACCACCCTAATAGCTTGAATGGCTATTACTGGAAAAAACATCTCTCTAGGTTCTATAAATATCAAGGTTCCTTACAGCATTAGTGCCAAGCTTGGTACCAAGATCAGTTTAATGCCAATAAGTTGCAGTAAATTTCATACCAGCCACCCAAAAGAAGTTCACTCACTAGCACGTTAGAACTGAACTTCCACTTTCAGTCTTGAAGAAGTTAATATGAGAAYTAGTTCCCACAACCAGGATAATGAATATGCGAGTCATTCCTTTGATAAAGTATTTATGAATACACACATATGMATATTATTTTAAAATCCAAATAAATTAATAGGGAGTTGAAGACAAGTTGAAGACTTGAAGACTGATGGTCTTCAAGTCACTCAAGACTTAACAGTTTATAATACTAACTGCTGAAGAGCAGTCTTCCCTCCCTAGAAGGAGAAAGAAAACTTTACACCAGTGCTTTGGTAGTATGCATTACTCCCATATTTTTTTCAAGTAAGTAGAACTCAGCGAAAAAGGAAAACACCCTTTTCAACTGTTAATMCTAACATACCAGCCCAGTAAACATTAATAGCAATTCCACACATAACCATATACCACTGCAGCACAAAAAGCTGACTGAAAATGAAACTAATCATGAACATTAATACTTTATCTATAGTATGCTCTCTGCACATAATTTCTTGTACTCGATTTCTCTTATAAGGAACAACAGTCTGTGTAGTTCACATCATAGTTGCATGCTTTTAGGCACACAAATGGCTCTAAACTGGGCAGCTAGAAGACTTACAAATCTGCCTGGAACATCCATATGTCATTTGTCTCTGCTCCCCATTTTCCCTCCTGTCCAACTTGCCTCCTTGCAAAACACACACTTCTGGAGTGGACACAGTGAGAACTCAATGAGGCCTTTGAGCCAACAAGGAATATTGACCCTGGCAGCCAAGGRTCAGAGGGTGATGGGCAGCGCTCTGCTTAATATCTGAAAGACAAGGCAGGACTGGATTCAAGGATAACAGATGATCCCCTACGGACCTCTGTGAGGGACAGAGAGATGAAGYAAAAAGTGGCTGCAAAAGCCCCTTGGAACATGAAACATGAGTTTAAAGTGATGTTGAAAGCAAAGTGACGGAGGAGTGTGTATGTCTGAGTGGGAACCACTCGCATGGATGCACATATGAAAAAAGACCTAACTGAAGAAATTTGAGAACATAGGGCATATATATAAATMTATATATAGTAGCAAACTCATGTTTCCAGTATGAAACAGTTGCAGAATCCATGGAGAGTGATGCTTTATGACACTGTAAACCCTACTGTCCAATTCTATCCTCTTTATTGTGTCTTGGCACGATCTACATGAACGAAAAACAATTACAAAAATAGACACATGCACTTCGGTTTTACTGGCTCCCAGAAGGTGGCTGCAATGGAAGCCACAGTACTAACATTCATCTTCTTTTAAGCTGTGGTTTCACTGAAAGGCGGTTGCTTCTGGAGGTTTCGCTTAACACATCATTTGTGTGTTAGCCAACAGAATTCCCAAAGGCTTTTCCCCTGTTTCCTCTGTCCATTTTTTCATTAAAAACTATGCCTAGCTGCAGGGTAATTCCAAAAGGTATCTGTAAAACTTGTATTTGAATGTTCACAGAACAGATGGAGAAATGGAGAGTAAGGAGGAGAAAGTATAGGGGAGCAAAGCAGACCTGTACAGAGAGCATGGGAATGGAAAACAGAAGTCGTTTGACTCTCCAYTTCTTCATAATAGAAACGTTAATGTCCTCCAGGCTGTGTCACATTCAATTCCTAAAACAGAATAGCAGCTACCGTGTTTCCACATGGAAAGTCATTTTCCCACTGCTTTTTGTAGATTGTTCACGTTACTTAACTTTAAAGAGTCCAAGAGGCTTTTGATTGTTTCACTTCCTATTCCCTTGGCCCTATTCTTGATCGTGTTGGGATTATTTTTTCCAAATGGTATCAGTAGGGCTGCCAGTCCCCAGGGCTCTTTACTGATCATTCGCTGAGTTTTATCTTCCTTCTTTAATATCCAGGCACTTTCTCTGGCCAAAGCGACAAATTTCTCCAGCTGTGGCTGATTAACATTCTTGCTGATATTAAGGTCTTGCTCAAAGGGATTCCAGATATAAAGAGGACACGACTCAGGTTTATTTACTTCCTTTCCCTGCAGATAGTTAAAAGTAAAAGCCAAAGTTGGACATGCGTTACAGGCACAACAAATAACAAATCACTCGCGTTATTAGCATTGGCACTAACAATAAAAGAGTTTTGACCTACTAGAGAACTTTTTGTGATAATTAATCACAGTAATTTCCCTGTTAATCTGACTGTATGATGACTCCTCTCTGAATCCTCTCAGTGCTTGTTTTCCCTGGTACGTTCAACATATATTTCCTTCAAGATAAATAATACACAAGTAGAATTTAGACCATACATTTGGCAATTTCCTTTTGTTTTTCTACGAGTCCAAAATTACTTCAAAATCACTTCAGTCTCCTCCTCCTAATGCCCTCTGCATGGAACAGAATGATTGTGTCATATTAACCCACACAGCTCCATTTGCTAAACTACTACAAGCACTTTATATGTTTGAACCATTCCTCTCTCAGTGCTTATTGAGAGTTTGTATAAGAAAACACTATCACTGCCTTGGCTGAAATTTCTCACGGGTCATTCTGACCTTTAAGCACTGAGATCTTCAGATTACAGTCTACTTTTGGGCGCTCAAAAGTAAAAGRCTCAAAAGTTTTGAGACTATCTAGTTTGCTGTTTAAATGCACTGACAGCTCTGTGTACATCAGTGCTCCTTTGCTGACCTATTCTTTAATACAGCCCCCCTGCAAGCTCTAGTAACAACTTGCCAGCTTATGCTTGCCCGTGAGGAAGCATTCACATACGTGCTACAGCACTCCTGCCCGGGGCCCGAGGCTTCGTTAGATATGAAGCACAGCAGCAGCACAGACAATTCACCTGCCTACTTGAGGCTCCACCATGTGGAGGCTTCTCTTTTGGATCCTGTTAACTGGCACACTTCCTAAAGTACAAGCCCTACACTGGATGCTAGTGCAAACTGCACTAGGAAACTGAAATGTCAGGAGAAAGCTTCAAAACTCAGTTGCACGATTGAATGTGGACACTGTTTGGGTCTGGATTCCTAACTATAAATGCAAAAGCCTGTTGGCATGCAGGGTTTGTAACACACTTTTGCTGTATGTATGACATTTAAAAAGTTGTCTTCCAACAGAATCAAAGTAGTAGCCATTTTGAAACGGCCACTTTTGGTACACGGTAATAGAGAGGAATAAAAATAATAAATAAAGAAATCCTACAAGCTTAGCATTAGAGTTTGTGGTCCCCAAAATACCCAAGAAATCCTATAGCACCATTAAGAACGTTATGCTAAGTGACTTTCTGACAAGAAAGCTCACTTCCTTCATAAAGAGAACTCAGTTTCTATGTATCACCAATTTATTTTGTACATGTAATTCATGTTCACAGAAATGGCTAACGATTGTTGTTTCTCAAACAGCAAATGGAGGAATTCGGTAGATAATGATGAGACATTAAAATGCATTTACCTTTCGAAGATTTATAGAATTCTTTCTGAAATCGAAGCTTCCAAAATATTCAAAAAAGCTATACAGCAATTCATCTAAAGGGAAAAAAAAAAAAGAGCAAACAGTTATAGCAAAAAAGTGTAGTCTCAGTATATTGGCAAGAGGCTTAAAGATTTACTCACCAAGTGTTTCTGTATTTTTTGTAGGATTGATCTTGCTTAAATCACTAACAAATGAGCAATCATAACTTCCAATTACATGCCTGTCTTCATCATCTGAAACATAAATTGCAAACTTATTTTGAACAAAAATGTTAGTGTATTTAATACACGTCATGTCCAATACCTATGATATGCTTGAATTCAATAAATGCTATTGCATAAAGCAAATCAACTTTTAAGTTGATTTAAAAGGGAACTTTCAGGTCAAGATTTAAGTTGTATGATTAAAGAYAAACAATAATAATTCTAATAAGCAAAGCAAAACAAGCATCAGTAAAAGAAGCATYTGCAAAAGCCTACAGGAAGAATATATATGATATTTATACCTCTAAAATTATTTTCTTTACGTACAAAAACCAGTATCTTTGCATACAGTGGTTTACTGTCCACTAAACAACACAAATCCACCAGGTTAATAACTAAGCAGGAGCTTTGGCACTTGGACCTGAACTGTCTAACCTCTTTTTCTGAGAAAAGAAGGGGATTAGGAATATTTTTTGTAAAATTAAGACAGGTGATTTTGTTCTGTGCATACGAATTTTACAGTCATTTTGAAAGCTTATTAATAAATGTTGATGGAAGTATCTGAACTGCTTTTAAAGCAACTGAAGACAACCCTTTAGCTACTCAAAATTTGCAAGGAAGCTGTCAATAAGCCTAAGACATAAATGAGGAAATAACAAGTTTGGAATGTCATTCTCCATCTTTTCATTAGATTTAATGAATATATGTGAAGATATCGTACCCCAAAAGCAACACATGAAATGGCTAAAACAGCCAGCTTGCAAAGATGTAAGCATTATTTCTAGATGGCTTGATCAGTCTCAACGATATCACACATAATGTTATTAAAAAAAAAAAAAAAAAAAACCTTCTTTTAAGCACTTGGTGTCTATAAAACAATACTTATTGTATCCATGAGGGAACCAAACTGGTAACAAATAGGGAGATGTTTAAGAATTTACAAGTCTTCTGAAACAAAAAGGAAAATAAACCAAAACCAGCCAGCACATGGAAGCTGCACTAGGACTGCTCTGATGAAAATAAGTGAGGCATAGAACAATCTTAACTCCTCCAAGTAGAATTTAGCATTGCAAAGAAGATTTATTTTGTTCTTAAGCAAGTGAGGTCTTGTCTTCTCACAAAAATAACACGTGAAACTTGTACATTCCCTCAGAGAAAAATAAACGTGAGAGTCACTCCCATTTTTTTCACAAACCACTGTSTTTACCTGCTAGTGCTCGAAGCTGGTCTACTGTTGGAATGATAGGTGGTGATCTCTTTTGCAGAAAGAAGATGACCATCATTGTCAGAGAGAAGTTGGTAATCCAGGCACCAGGAACACTGTTTGTAAGTCCATGCACACGGGCCCAGCATCGTATACTGAACACCAGTGCTCTCACACGGGAATCAAGACAACCGTAGATATACAGGAGCTCTGAACTTTTTATAGCAATGCTGAGGAAGAAAAAGCATGGCACGTGTAAATACTGAGAGAAGTGGGAAGTAGCAGTGCTAGCTGCTCAGTCCTAGAGCATCAGTCACAATGGAAGAGGATATCCATAAAAAATAACTCCTACCTGTTAAACATATAAAGAGAATGCCTGAGATTGGCCAGCATTCCTGACAGCTTCTCACAGTACAAAGGATAAAGTTAGGGGATAAATACTAAGACTGGACTTGCTTTCTTTCCCTGCTTCCTTGTTACATATGACAAGGAGAAAAAAATAAAAAGTACTCAGGAGCAAAAGTATGCAGAATCAAGGCTGAAAAGATACATTTCATTTAGACACAAATGGCTTTGGAGATGATCTCTATATTCTAATACAAGTGCAAAACAGAAGTTCTTTTACAATCTTACTCCAAAAAGTTATAATATGATGAACTGAAAAATAAGCAATATGCAAAGGCCATGAGATCTGCAAAACAAGTCAACTTGGTAGTTTTCAAATAGATGATTTTTGAGGTTCAGTGCCCTTCAGTTTGTTACGACACAGAATATATTTCTGAATTTTGTACTGGAAGGTATCAAAGACTTTTAGTGTGGCTGGAATAAATGTGCAGTGGTTGTTCAGCAAATGCTTGAAACAAACATAAGCAGTCACTACTGCTAGAAGCCTTGCTTGCAGATGCTCGTTCTTGTCCCCAGGCTGCCACAGCCATATTGTTCATAGCCATTTATTGCAACTATCTGGGTTCAGATCTTGATGAAAAAAACCTGAAGTAGAAGGATAATGGTTTTCAAACACATTGGTTCCTGATCTGCGTCATCACAACCTTGTACAAAAGTTCTTAGGCAGCACAAAGGAGAGGGCAAAGAAAAAGCAGAAAAAAATACAACGAAGCACAATGTAATAATGAGACTTATTCTGGTGACAGTCTGGGGACATTTTTAGTCTAAAGAGCTTGTTGAACTCTTGCTGCAGGAGTCTTTACTCCCAATCTTGAGCTTAATTCCTTTGAGGAAAAAAAAAACCAACGCATTTTAGGCATACTTGCCACATAAAAGGTAGTAATTCCTTGACTTACAAATTTTGACTGTGAAATGCTTCTCCATTTACACAAATTTGTTTTTACTCCAAATAATAACAAGAGAACAGAGATGGTCACAACTGACCAATTGCTCAGCAGAGGATTACAAGAAAGTTTGCACAGAATTGACTTGCACTGTGGCTACATGTATAAGGCTCCATTTCAGAGCAGAAAAACACTTTTTCTTTACTCCTTAACAGCTCCTATGTATTCTGAAACGGAATTTAGGATGATTCAGAAAATTCAATCTAGGATCTGGTTCAGATCACAGAATCTGCATTAAAAGTTGTAAGTCAAAGTCTTCTTGAAAGATCATCACTCATACTTTAGTACTCCCTGACACATACGTAAAGGGCTGGGTTCTTTCTAAGTGCGTATCTTTAATCCATTATGTCTGCTGCACTGGCAGAAAAACACTATTCTTAATAAAACAAGTGACAGTAAAGCAGAAAAATATGCTTCCTATCAACCACTAGTCACGTAATAAGTGAGAGCAAGCAGGAGGAGGGAAAAAAAAACCACAGAGAGATTTCTAAGAAGCCTGCTCCCTCTATTGGACACTCTTGTGAAAAGCCATAATGCCAGTAAAAATTTTCTGAAGCAGCAGGTAACGTATCATTCCAGATGCCTTGCCAGCAAATACAAAACAAACTCCAAAGATTCCTGAAATAACTAAAAACCCAGTCACTGCAAAGCAACTGAAAGCCTATAATGAAAATTAATATATTGCAGTTTCTTAATCTGAGAAGTAATGCAGAGGAGACCGTACATGTGCACATAGCGACATAAGAAACTGTCATCTTTCAGTTCAATAAAAGACAATGGTTTTGCATAGTGTTCTTCAGGTTCAGCTAGCAAGTGTTCACTATGCTGGAGGAGAGTATCTTAAAGAAAAAAAAAAGCTTTACAATTGAGAAACATAAAATTGCTGGCCCCAAAAGTACAAATCAAGTTCTCTTTTATCGTATTTGTTACAAAAGCTTGTTAACCAGCATTCATTGCAGGTTTTCAAGTTACAGGTATATTCTACCTAAACTCTTTAAAACCAGGTCTTACCTGTTGCTCACTGACAGGTCACACTGAAATCCTGTTGGCTGATGTGAGAATTTCACCAGTGGGCAGCGAGCRTTGAGTATCTTTTGCACACTCACACAGCCGGGCCCGAAGTGGTCCAGGCAGTCCCCGATCACGGACAGGATTTTCTGAGTGGCCAACCTTTCCGAGGGCAATCTCTTCAGCTGATACTCCATCTCAAACGGACCTTTGGTCTGCCACAAAATTGTAAAAGGAAACTGTTGGCTATAGAGTTGAGGAGATATTTAAGAATAATCCTGGATGACTATAACATTTTGCCAAGGACTGTGCAATTTGAGCTGCTAAGACCAATGCATTATTTAAAGCAGCCTGCAAAGCTTGGTGAAAAATACTGTTTATGTTCTTTCTCAGTAAYTCAATTTTTGCAGGTTAATAAAGAACCACTTATTGTGAAATTAGCTGCTTTGATGATGGTATAGTACATCACACTATTGTCTAAAGCAAATAACTGTGGAATTCCTGACAGAGTACACACACACTATAGAGAGAGAAAAAAACCAAAAGTACAGTTTTAAGGTAAAAATAAAAAAGGGAACCTAACCACTGCTCACTTCATACTACCAATGTTTTCTTTCCATATCCTCACAGAATGTGTTATTGAATCAAGTAGCACTGTAAAAGAAAAACTTTTTCATCCTGAAAAGGATCCAAAATTATAGCATGTGCATTTCCTTTTTAAAAAAAAGTTTCTGTAAAATTGAAAATAATAATTTCACATCAGATTTTTTTTCTGACAGATATATTTTGGGGGGCTGCATTCCTACCATATTAGACATGCATTTTCTTGTATGTCTTCGTAGTCGTGATTTTCATACATAYAGTTTATACTGAAATAAAGCATTTATATGAAATCTCTGCTCTTTTTATAGTCTATTTTTAAACCTTAGCTATTTCTGCTTGCTAATCCAATACTTACACTGACTTACCCCTCCCTAAAAGCAGCTTATGGGTGAGTGCTGAGTGAAAAGCTTTATGCAGTCACCCAACCAGTCCTCCAAGTCACCGCTACATGAGGCTCCGTTTTGTTATCACCAGGCTAGTGCCAAGAAACAAGGCACGCACAGACAGACAGTTCAGAAGGCCTGGCTCTTGTAACCCCCTCCTCAAAAACCCACTTTAAGGCACCCAATTTCTGTGCAATCATCCAGGCAGTTTTTCCTGCTCTCCTCTTGGCCATGCTTGGCCGTGAAGCAGTGCTATGAGCGAGCCCTGCTCCAAAGGCAAAGCAAAAGGAGCCCACATCTGTACAAAGGGAAGCAAGGAGCTGCCCGGAATAGGAGACTGAGGTAGTGACGGAAGAAGAAATGGGGACTTGGTTGTTGAGTCAGTATCCTGGTGTCTTTTTGCTTATGGAACAGAGACACTCGCCCCAGATCTGTGCCCCAGCCACGTGGCCCACAACAGAAGAGGTGATAAAGTAAACTAGGGTTTTGCAACAAATTCAYGAGCTACCCTCAAAAAGAAGCATAACTCTTTGAATCCTAAAGCTGCGACACTAAAAGCGATCAATGAACTATGTTTAAAGTAACTCAACTACTCTCCCAAGCAGCCTGCACGTTAAAAAAAATAATCTCCGTGCAAACACATGGGTCCTTTTGATCCTCTATGGGGAAGAATAATTTTCACGGGGTAAAAAAAAAAAAAAAAAAAAAAGCAAAAAAAGCAAAGTCACAAATTCCATACTAAAGAATGCTCTCCCATTTGCTGCCTTTTTCAGTCACAATCACTGATGGGTTCTCCATAAATGTAAATAAATGTAAATAAATGCTGAAATAGCTGGTCTTCGTCCACTGCTCGTAGCCTCCTGAAGGTCTGTGACCGCTTAGCAGACAGAAGATATCCTTTGCCCTGCAGCTATGTCATCTTATCATTAAAGTTACCTTCCTTCATTCACTTGTCCCCAAAATCACAAGCAGTTTATGTAAGTTAGTAACACAGTTTGCCAGGGAGAAGACCACTCTTGTCTTTCCTCAAAAGCAGTAAGCATTGGCTGCCTATGAGGGCAAGATGTGCCTGCATCACAATTTCCTACAAAATACAAAGCTCTCTAGGTGCTGGCTTCTTGGTCTCCTTTATTCTTTGGTTATATCTGAATTAAGATGCACTAATGATTTTTACTCCCCTTCATAGGCCAATTCTGTGATGCACCTTATTATTAAACATCTTTTCAAATTGAGGCAGCAGTTATGCCCGCATTTTAACAGTCAAAAATATGCATCAGAAGATCATCTTGTTGATTTTATTGATACCACCCTGCTTGCACACAAAGCAAAAGCCTCACTGCACCACATGTAACAGTTTACATGTTCCATGCAGCCTGCTAACCTGTCATGCAACACAACAACATAAGCTCAGACAGTAGCCCTGGGGGCTCGTGCTTAAGAACTCCTGACTAAATACCCATTAAATTAACACACACATATAATTATCTGTCCTTGCACTGACAAAAGAGATGTCCTCATCTCTTTGGTGCCTCTCAGAACACCCATTGTATTATTTTGATTTCTCCCACAGGATTTTGCAGGCCTAGAACACCTTGCACAGTCCCACGAGAGGACAGGTTGCTTCAAAACACCCAGTGATAACAGGACAGCTCAGGAATAACATTCTTACAGTATGATGGTCTAGAGCTCACAGATGAGTTTATGAAACTCAACAAGAATGTTAATACAGCTGCCATGCCAACAACTTAACACTGGTAAGAATATCAGTGGCATGTCTGGTTTGAGGATAATGAAGAATAAGTTCAAACACCTACCTCGCTTTTAGCTGTTTCACTGCATTTACACTCCTTTCTTTTCCCTAGTCTACCATCAGCTATTAATTAGAAAGTACTTTTGCTGTATGAACTCAGTAAGAAAACCAAAACAGTTTTCATAAACTGACTGACATTTCAGTTAACACTATCAACAAAAATAGTTAGAGGATAAATGAAATGGCTTCAGAGACATGGTCAAATATGATTTTCCTAACTGTAGCAAACAATACCACCACCAAACAAGAGAACCTGAATMATCTTTTTAAATGTTAAAGTTACTCTTTAAATCAAGGAAAAGAGCCTGACAACCTTCCATTAATACCTTTGCACACGCAAACACAAAATAATTATCTTTGAAGCGTATGTCCAAGAGCTCCAGAGAAGGAAAACCAACAGCAGGATGGGAAGATCTGGCTTGCTCAGTCAGCTCTGAGGAATTCACCCACAGTGAAATTTACCCTCATGGTGCAGACAAAGCCCACAGGAGCACCAAATTATTTTTCCTATAATGACAAACATTTCTTCTTCAGTGTCACACTCAGTTTTGAAAATTCTTCCAGTCTAAACTTTCAAATAAATTTATCAATTTTTYATTTAGATTTATGTGAAATCTTTATCTTTTTCTGTCTTCCGTCTATCCTTTGTTTATGGCTCTGACATTTAGACTGACTTTGACATTTAGAGGAGCAAATGAGCTGCTCTGTCAAAAAATTATCCAAATGACTGAATGTGTACAGAATAACCTTACCATTTTTTTAATGTGCTTTCTTGCTTCATTGAAGTCCAGAAACATGTCCACATCACATCCCAATTTGCCAAAGGTGTTCACTGAAGAGCCAAATGGCTTTACCACGCTGTCTGGGAAATAGGCACGTGCAAAATCCGAAACCAGAGAACAGGCCAAATATCGGAGCTTGATATTTTCTTCTGTAAGCTGATACTCATTCAGCAGAGTGTACATCTGACTGCTTATCTAGTGCAGAAATTGAACACAGTCAAGATACAGTGACCCATAATACATATAMATAYAYATATAWMAAATATATATGAATGTTATATATAATATACACATTATAATGATTATAGAATTATATTTATATATAAATATATATAATTTTAAGGTATGATAATTATATTATTATATTATTAATTATATTATATTATAATTATAATTATAATTATATAATTTAAAATTAATTTCTCTGTGGTTTAAACACAGGTTTGATTCACAGAGACATTTATTTCATATAGAAAAATACATGTGGCAATTAAAGTAACAAATTTCATCTATTTGTTCCAATGTGTGAAAAGCAAATTCAAAATTCTCCTTTTTTTAAAGACAGAAATAAAGTGTACTCCAAGACATACATGTCCACTTGCAAATCTGAAATAAGTTGGTTGATGTTTAGTAAATAGAGATTGACAAACCTATACTTACACTGTCAGCACCACAAAGYTTTTGGATAAGGTCTTTCACTGGAATGTGAGACTGAGGAGAGAGGCGAATTTGTGTCTCAGCAGCAGCTTGAGCCACTAGGTTTTTCATCGTGAAAGTAAAAAGTCTAGATTTAAATGGAACAACATGATGTTCTGTAGCACCGGGGATTCCAATAACATCCTGTAATGAAGCTATACTGTTTTTATCAGAGAATTCTATTAAGGCATGGATACCCTAAAACAAAGAGTGGAAAGAGACAGGGTTAGATAACTACACAAGAGATTTGAATTAATTATATCAATATTATTCAGGTATTCATACAACAGTTCTGAAGCTCAGTGATATTCTCTGTACTTCAGCATATTTTTTAGACACCTTTTGACAAGAGGTCAAAACAAAATTAAGATCTGCAACTCTTGGCTGTGAACACTAAACACAGAAGTATTAAAATCCATTTATCTTTGCAATTGTAATATTCAAAAAAAAGTAAAAAAAAAGGTTAGTTCTACTGTTAGAACAAAAAGCAGTGTTAGGTATGAGCCTTAAAGACTTGCCATCCATCATTTATAACAGGTGCTGCTTAGCTGACAAAAAAAACTATTACTTAGAAACTTGTAAACTTTAATAAAAAAAAAAGTTTAGTACAACAGCTATCCATAACATGCTCAGCTTATATATGTAAAGCCTACTCAAAGTGCTAGCATTTCTTTTAGTTTAAGTCTAGATTCTAGCATACATTATCAATTACTTACACGATTTTCAAAAAAGAAGTGGCTGTTAATTTTTCCATGACTGGACAAATACTGCAATAATTTTTTCTCACTGATTTTTGATGGACACTTAATCAAAACAGTCCGTTCTGCTTGCTCCAGCCGCTCTGTTTGAAGCTCAGTGAATGTCTTCTTTCTGCCATTGACCTCAGCATCTGTGTGAACAAATGCACATCAGAGTTTTTCTACACAAACATGAAGATTTGAAACCGATTTTAGCACATTTAATCTTCTCTTTTGGGTACGGACATAAGTACAAAGAATTCCTCTGGCTCTCCAAGAGCAGCACAGGAAAACAATCAAGAAACATGAGGGCAATTCTCTCATAAACACATTTATTTGTAAGAACGAAGACTGAGAAATGTAGGAAGAAAATAATACCGGCCTCCCCGATCCTCCGGGAAGGTTGATGACACAAGGAACACTCGCTCTTCTCTTGTGTGTTMATCACTACCAGAAAAATCGGCACTCACAATCTGACTTGGTGCAGCAATCTGGCACTGCAGGACCTAGCTGGCACCAGGCAAGGCTTGTGCAAAGCTGCACTGAGAAGGAAATCCACCTCCACTACCACAATACCAGCACTTTTACCCTGGAACAACGAAACACTTGGCTRTTTTAACAACTCGCATCTTTTCCAGTAGGCTCCTACCTCGCAAAACACATTTCATGCTACGTTTTCATGTACTCATCAGAACCCACAGATCAGTCTTACTCCACCATAGTATTGACCCTAGATATTGCTGCCAACAGCCTCCAGAATCAACACGGAAATGAGACACCCTGGACCAGGGGGAAGCACAGAAAATGTTTTTGTTGATTACAAAGCAGGGAAGAGCAACATCCTAAATTCAAAATAATATCCACATCCCTGCAAAACCCTCAAGCTTCCAACTGACCATGTTAGTATCACAGCCTGTGAAACTGCTCCCTGTAAACACAGTCATTCCTAACTCAGACCTGGAAGCTGGAGAACAGGCACTTATTTCCCTGTGGCTCCTATCAGGCAGGGAAAGTTCAGAAAGCTTTTTACACTACTTTTAATTTTGAGGATGATATAATAGAATTTTGTGGCCTCAAGACAATCTTAACTACAAACTAATGAAGATTGTAAAGCGCTTATTWAAAAAAAACTTTTATTTTGCAATAAGTTTATTGGGTTTGTCACACAGGGTAACACTAGGCAAAGTAGTTGTTTCAATAGCTTAATATTATAGTAACTTTTGACTAAAAGACTGAAGAGGCAGAAGATAGGGAGGTTGGACTAGATGATCTTTAGAGGTCCCTTCCAACCTTAACCATTCTGTGACTCTGTGATGATAAATATCCTGTTATCCCTGGGGTCAGAGAAGCGATGAAAACGACACGTCCCACGGGTCAGTAACACAACCAGAAGACGAACCCAAGGCTTCCCACACGCAGAGCTGCCTCCACAGGGCCAGGCTGGCTCTGCAGTTCTTCACTGTGTGAGCTGAGCACCGCAGCAGAGCATGTGCTCCGAGCTGCAGTGCTCCCCGAGCCCTGCTGCCATCTGCACAGCCCAAGCACGGCACGGGCGCAGCAGCTCTCATCCAAACAGCCATCCTAAGCAATTCAAATGGGGGAAAAGCTTTCAGCTTTACTTTCTTCCCCCATTTCCACAGCATTTCCACCTAAAGTGGCTGTGACAAAATGTCACTAAACTGGGACAAACTAGCACGACCCCTGGCAGGAACACCACCGTCTCCACACGATGCTCACATCCCCCCCAGTGCTGCCCTCTGATGCTGGGCTAAGTACTCACATGGCCTCGTAACAAACCAAGTGACAAGAACTCTCTGTTCAGGCCATCAAGGAGGTGCCACCTGATGCTCTTCAGGCCCTGAAACACCAACATGGGCACATGGCTGTGCTCACGAGAGCAGGATCACRGAATTACAGGAAGACTGAGGTTGGAAGGGACCTCTAGAGATCATCCAGCACAACCGCCTGCTCCAGCAGGGACACCCAGAGCTCGGGGCACAGGGCGGCATCCAGGCGGGTTGGGAAAATCTCCAGAGAAGGAGACTCCACAACGTCCCTGGGCAGCCTGTTCCAGGGCTCTGTCACCCTCATAGCAAAGAAGCTCTTCCTCACATGGAGAAGGAACTGCCTGTGCTTTGATTTACACCCATTGCCCCATGTCCTATCGYTGGCCACCACTGAGGAGAGTTTGGCCCCATTCTCTTCACATTCTCCCCTCACGTATTTCTATTTGTTGGTAAGATCCCCTCTCAATTTTCTCTTGCTTAGTCAATTCTCCTAAGAGAGACGCTCCAGTCCCTTAATCACTGCTTTATCCTGGGCCCTCTCTGGGAGCGCTGCACAGCGTCCGGGCTCTGCAACGACCACGGGCTTCACACGCGGCACAGCGGCCCACGGGAGCAGCGCGGCCGCCTCCCGGCTTAGCCGATCCCAAACCGGGATCCCAAACTCTGGAATTAGCACAAGAGGCCGGGGGAGGCCGCAAGGAGGCCCGGGGAGGAGAAACGGCCCGGCGTCCTCACCTGCCTCTTCGGCGGCCGCCAGCGGCGGCGCCCTCCTCTGCGCCGCGGTGCCGGTCGAACCGAACCGCGGCTGAGGGCCCAGGCCGGAGGCGGGAAGGCGCCAACGGCCGCGCAGCAACGCCAGGCCCAGCGCCATTACCGCGCAGCGTCGGCCGCCCCTCCTGCGCACGCGCGCGCCGCGCTCGACGGCGGCCGGCGGGGCTCAGCCCGCACCGTGTCGCGTTGCGGATTGAACTGGGGGCGGGGGGAGAGATTTTGGGGGGGGGGG